GCAAGAGGCAGCCATATATGATGGGATATTTTGGGTTTTTGTTTTGTTTTGTTGTTTAAGCAGAGTAGTTACAGCAGGTGACTTAAAAGATTAGCGGTTCCATGGATGGAGGATGTGGTAAATTACAAAATTTGGCCACTAATTCCTACCTTCTGAGTATGCACATCTTGCTGCCATGTGACTTTTCCTTTCTTTCTTGAAGAGATGCATCTATTTTCCTGCCTCTTTGATCTTGCCCTGTGGCTTGCTTTGCCCAAGAGCCTATGGAGAGTTTGGTGTTGGGAGGGTTTAAGAAGTCCTACAGCTCTATATCATTGGAATGCTGCCTGAGATGGCTCTGTGAGGAAACTAGCTCCCACCTCTGGGAGGATGAAAGCCCAGGGAGAGGAGAACAGGGGTGGAGGGCTCCAGCCAACAACAGCACCAAGCACCAGACCTATCACTGAAGTCATTTTGGACCTTGTGGCTCAACCAATCCTCATATGGGTGACAGTAGCATTAATGAGTGTTAGTGGCCAGTCAAAACCAGTAGAAACCCAGCAGGATCACAGAATCAGCAGAAATAAACCAGGCGCTATTAAGGCTCTCGGTTGTGTGGGTCTTTGTGAGTTTCTCAACGTCAGTGCCCCTGACATTTTACATTGGATAATTCCTTATTGCAAAGGCCTATTCTGTGTACCATCCAATGTTTAGCAGCATCTTTGTCCTCTACCCACTGGGAGCTGGTAACACCCCTATACTCTCCCATTGTGACTATCAAAAATGTTTCCAGAGCTGTGTGTAGCGGTGCACTCCTGTAATCCCAGCTCTCCAGGAAGCTAAGGCAGGAAAACTGCAAATTCTAATCAGCCTGGGCAGTGACTTAGTGGGACCTTGTCTCAAAATAAAAACAAAAAGGGGCTGTGATAGCTCAGCCCTGGGTTGAATCCCTAGTAGTAGAAAAAAGAGGAAAAAAGTTTCTGGATATTGTCAAATGTCCCCTGGGGGCAAACCATAAGTGACCCAGGAAGCCTTTCTCATTTTCCCTTCAAAAGCTTTAATAACGATCCCTTCTAGAAGTCTACATGTTACAGGCTGGGTCTTCAGCTCTTAGCACCCCTGGGAGACAGTCACACCCTGGAGATGAGGTGGGCTTATGGGAGGTCTTTAGGTCACTGAGGATGTTCTCTTAAAGGGAAATGAGGAACTCCAGCCCCTTCTTTGCTCTCTTTTGCTCCCTGGCCATACGGTGAATAGTTTTGCTATATCATGTATTCCCACTGTGATATTCTACCTGACTGCAGGCTCAGAAGTAAAGAGGCCAACAAATCATGGTGTGGAACCCTAAAGCTATGAGCGTAAGTAGTACATGATCTTTTCTCTTTATAACTTGATTATCTCCGGTATTTTGTTACAGTGATAGAAAGCTAATCCCCAATTTGGGGCAGATTGGAAAGCATACACCCACCCTAATCAAATATGAACTCAGCCAGGTGTGGTGGCGCACGCCTGTAATCCCAGCACTCAGGAGCTGAGGCAGGAGGATCATTGTGAGTTCGAGGCCGGCCTGAGCAACAAAGTGAGCTCAAGACCAGCCTGAACGGCATAGTGAGACACTGTCTCAAAAAGACAAAAAAAAAAAAAAAAAAAAAAA